TTTTTTTTTTTCAAATTTTAACGTCTTTGAGTTATTGTTTTTTGTTAATTACTTATTACCACTTTTTAGTTTGGTTTATTCCAGTATAAAATGGTAAAAATAAAAAGATGAAAACAGAAGCCGGAAAAAAAACAAGCCGTAAGAGTTTCTTGACTGTTTGTATTAAATTATATCTTTAAGCTAAATTATATAAATGGTTAGGAATTTATACTTTGATTGGTGCATAAATAAGCTTTAATTTTTCTCGTACATTATTTTTCCAAACATTTTACGCAACGTTTTGTTTCTTGAAAATTACTTTTCTAGTTAACAGTTTTTTGAGAATTGGATTTTCAGTATGCTTATTTTTTTTTAACTTGTTTTCTTGTTGTTTTTTAGTTTTCAGGTGAAATAAGAGTAAACAGACAAATATAAGTATTTATAAATAGAAATAAACGATTACCAATTATTAATATATATCAAATACTTTAATTTTTCTTGAAAGAGTGCAGAAGTTTTTGTTTTTTTTTTACTAAATTTTTTGTGCGTCATCTTGCTTCCTGGAGGACAATATTTCTCTTGTTTGCTTTCTGTTTATTTTTAAACAACTGGCAAATGCGTAGTTGATTGAATGTGTAAGAAGGTTTATTCCGGATTGCTCTTCTTGATTGTTCATCTCTGAACTATTTAAGTTCTTTAAAATTATTTTTCTGCCAGCGTTTTGGATGGCGTAAGAACCGTTTTTCTCGTATTTTTACTTTTTAATTTATGGTCATTAGTCTTTTATTTTTCCAAAGCTGTTGTTTTGTTCTTCAATCTAATTACACCAATGAGAAAGAATTATCTTATGGTTGGAGTAATTTAATTGGATATGTAACTTTTTTGATGAACAGGTTATGGGAAAGGAGGGGCCTTTGTCAAAATGGACAAACGTTGTTCATGGCTGGCAGTATAGGTGGTTTGTACTAAATGATGAGTCAGTATGTTACTACACTTCGCAAGAAAAAATGCGTAAAAACCAGCAGAGAGGTTGTATTCGTTTGAAAGGTGCCGCAGTTGGGATTAATGAAGAGGACACCTCATTATTTACTTTGACTGCTGATGGGAAAGTCATTCATCTTAAGGTATTGTTTATCGTAGATTTACGAGAAAGGCCTTTTTAGTTGGAAGAGACCTGGAAGTTGTTTTCACTACTTTCTGATTGAATTTCTCTTAAAAGCAGTATATTTTTGTCAAGAGCATTTGTTTTCTTTAATGCAGGGACGCGATAAAAATGAAAGGGATGAATGGGTTCATAATTTGGAGGAAGCAATTCATAAAGTTAGCGGATATTACCGTGTGCCACCAGTGTCGACGAACGAGGCCATTAAAAGGAAAGTAGTAGAGGCAGATGTTTTGTTACAAAACATGATTAAAGAAGTAAACTTTGTATTTATCTTACTTTTTTGGAAGGGTTGTAGATTATTGTCTCACTGAACTTTATTAGATTAAACTGCCACTGGAATCAGTACCTTTTTGCATGCACAAGTTTAGTTAGATGAGAAAGGGAGTTTTTAATGAATCATTGTTGGTGTTACTTTAACAAAAAAGTTCGGGACTTTTTTTGCTGTCTTGACTTTCCCCCTTCAGATTGAGACTCGTTTTCCATATTGTTCAGGTGAAAGATCTTGAAAACCTTTCTTTAAAAGCGAAAACTGAACAAAAAAAGGTTGTGACGGAATTAATCAAATCATCAAATCGTCTCTTGGACTGTGTAAGGCACGCTATCATCTTGCTTCAGATGGCCAAATCCAAGGTTGAACCAAATTTTTCAGAGAAAACAGAAAACGATGAAAACGGTTCAAAAAATGAGGTCAATTTTGTCTTTATAGTTATTTATTTATTTTTTATCGCTTGTCGACTAATATTTTTAGGATTAAAATTTTAGGAGGAGGACCCGTTGGAGCCGGTTGATCCACTTTCTTATTCCAGCAGCGACGAGGAGTTTTTTGATGCACCATCAGCGAAAGAAGAGAAGTTGCAGGATGAAACTTCTACGGATAATACTCAGCGCATTTTAAAAACATCTTGTAATTCAGAATTAGATGAAATGGAAGATTACGATGCACTTTATAATGATACCGAAGAAAGTGATGTGGGTAACATGCAACAGCATGGCTCAGTTCTTATGCATCTTCTTTCTCAGGTAATGCCTTACGTACAGTTATAGTATTGAAACTGAAGTAGGTAGTAGTGTGCTTCAAATTTTGAAAAGCTTCTCGATGGGACCTGTAGTGCATGTTTGCGTTGTTCGGTACTGTTTTTGCAACAAAGCAATTTTCCCAAGCAAACGCTCCTTCATAAGTTCGAAAATATACGGGCTTTTACCAGTTTTTCTTTTTGAATTATCTATACATCAGCTAATTACTTTTTTAAAGGTAAGTGTTGGCATGGATCTAACGAAGGTTACTTTACCGACCTTTATTCTTGAGCGACGTTCTCTTCTGGAAATGTATGCTGATTTTTTTGCACACCCCGACAACTTTATTGTAACAACTTCGCTTTCTACTCCTGAAGAGCGAATGATTTCTGTGGTAAAATATTATCTTGGGGCGTTTTATGCTGCGCGGAAAAGCGGTGTTGCTAAGAAGCCCTATAATCCTATCCTTGGAGAAACTTTTCGATGTAAGCAGTTTTTCTTCAATAATTTCACCACGTTTCTTTACCTTACGAGAAGAAAAGAAGGGTAAGGAAGCTACTTGTGAGAAATGATTTGCAATAATTTTAATTCGAGGGAAAGTATTTGGGTTTCATTGTGTTAAACACATTTTTTATTTGACTTCATATCCGGTTTAAAAAAACTTATTCTTTTCAGGTAGGTGGGATGTTCCTGGTTTGCCCTTAACTGGTGAAAAGACAGTTCGGGGCCCATTTCCTGGTTCAGATATGAACCAGCTAACTTTTGTTGCCGAACAAGTAAGCCATCATCCTCCAGTGTCAGCATTCTACGCTGAGCATCCGGGAAAGAAAATTTCGCTTAATGCACATATATGGACAAAGTCATCCTTCCTTGGCTTATCAATAGGTTTCTTTGGTTTCTTTTTCTGAAAAAGAATTCTCATCTTTCGGATAACACAATTTTCATATATTCAAGAAGTATTTAGCAAGTTGACTTCTAGGCGTTACTAATATTGGTTGGGGTTGCGTGAAATTGTATGAGCACAACGAGGAGTACATAGTGACATTTCCTAATGCCTATGGTCGTTCTATTATGGGCACTCCATGGATTGAGCTAGGCGGGAAGGTTAAAATTTTTTATTTCTATTTTAGGCTTTTTTAAACCTCATGGCCGACGTTTTGGGATTCTGGATTTTAAAACATATGAGGACTGTGGAAGCTTCATTGAAATGCAGTTTTTTTAAAACCTCTATATTCAGGTTACGGTGACCTGTCCTCAAACTGGTTATTATGCTGAAATTGATTTCTTAACAAAGCCGTTCTTTGGTGGAAAACCGCACAAGATAACTGGTAATATCTACCGTCCTTGTTTCAAAAAGCCTATTATGATTTTAAAAGGCGAGTGGAACGGTGTGATAACTGCAAAACCTTTGAGTGGCGATGAGTTTATCTTTATCGATGTTAAAGAAAAGGATGAAGTGAAGAAGGTAGATCTCTTCGTCTTTTTTTCTTTATATTGTGTTCGTGTGAGGTTTTTAATACAGATATTTTTGAGATTCCTCTTTATGGTATTTGCGTTAGTTTGACTGCGAAAAGTAAAGGTATAGCATTTGAATTCCTTTTTTTGACGCTTTCTCTGCTCTTAATATTGGATGCAAGTTTTGGTTTAGTCTGTTTAATAGTAATTTTTGTTACCGGGTCAGCTGACAAGACTAAAAAAACTCCTCTGAATATTTATACGGTGAACAATCAGTAAATGAAAATTGAGTAAAAATTATTACAGGAATGTACCCCAGTAATGCAACAATTAGAAAAAGAGTCAAGGCGGTTATGGCGATATGTCACTTTAGGTCTAAAGCAAAATAAACTTTCAATGGCAACAAATGCAAAGAGGGCATTGGAGCAGCAACAGCGCGATGAAGCGAAATTACGTCAAGTAATATTCAAATGCTTTATTAGAAAGAGTGCCGGTTTTGATCTTTTTTCTATAATGTAATTGTTTAGGAACAAGGTATTGAATACGAAACAATTTTGTTCTCGAAAGTGCGTGATAACTGGCTCTACAAGGATCCCTTGGTACTATGAGTTTTTCCGCCATTACAGCATGCTTTTTAATCTTCCTGCTTTTCACTTGTTATAGTCGGTGTCGTTTGCTTGTGCCATTGTTATATTTTATAGGGTTTAAATAACGTTTTAAACGGATATAAGTTGCGGGTTTTTTTTCGCAGTTTTTTCAAAGTTATCGCTAAATTTTATCGTGTTAATAAGTTGTTATTTTTGTTCATCTGTCATTTTTCTATCTTTATGCTTTTTTGTGATGTGTTTTTCTCTGTTTTTCTGTAATTCCTTTTTGACTGCAGTTTTTGAGTTAATATCTAGATTGTCTTTTTTTTGCAAGTGCTAACTGAGTCTAGAAATATTTTTGAAGTCTTTGACTAAGATACAACTGTGATATAAATTTTTAATGATCTCTATTTTTGTCGGGATGTACCGCTTAACTGGCCTAAAATTTTATTTTCTCTTTGAATGTTGTTAGTTCTGCAAAGTTATAGTCAGTAATTCGTGGGAAGCGTGTAATATAAAGCTGTCAGTTGTATTCC